ATCTTTCTTCTATCATTGACAGTCCCTCTAGGTTGTGGGCTGCTTGCCTGTGTTCCTGAGAAGCATCTACGGTACCAGTCTATAGAGTGTGTTTTCTTTAGTGAATTACCGGTATGTTTACCGGTAATAAACTTGCACTGTTTTATGTATATGTTTGATTACATACAGCCTTGTGACAGTTTTCCTGCATGTCATAAGCATTTGAATATAAATTAAAATGTTAAAATCAAATCTGATATTGTTTTACCTTTTATTTGGTGTGTGGAAGGTGTGTGGAAGAGGGGGTAGTCTTATACGGCGAGTATATAACAAACTCTGTATTTTGAGTGGAAATGTTAGGGGGTCGTCTTATACGCCCAGTCGTCTTATACGCCGGCAAATACGGTACTTCTTTTAAAGTATGGATCAGCATCACAACCTTGGAAATCAAGATCCCCAAAAATGCTGCCTGTCACCATGGATGTCTTCCCCACTCCTCTGCACCTGTCTCAGTCCAGGTTTCTACCTGCACAAGGTAGTTCACGCACATTTATTTCAGGCCAGAGACGAAGTGAAGGCAGCTTACCCTCAGGTTTCTCTCCCACCGCTGTGAGTTCAGACTCCTGGCTCGGCTCGCTGGTTCCGTACACATTGATGGCGCGCACGCGGAACTTATAGTCTCGGTCAGGCAGCAGGTCCTGGACGTTAAACGAGGTGCTGCGGCACGTGGCTAGTTCCTTCCACGTCTTGTCCACCGAGTCCCAGATCTCGACACTGTAGGACTGCACAGCACTGCCCCCATCGTACGAGGAGCCATACCAGGACAGGGTCAGCGAGGAGCTCCGAATATCAGAGGCGCAAGGCGTGCCAGCTGGGGGGTCTGGCTTGTCTGGGGATGGAGAAGCACAATATCACCCAACTCTTCAGAATTTCAGGGAAAAAGAGATTTTGAATCAGGTTTTTTGGGGAGGAGCCTAGAGAACTCAAGCTGACATCCCCGGTCCGGGCTCTGGTTCCCTCATCCACAGTCACACCTATGCACAAACAACCTATGAGAAAGCCCTACAGATACCTATGTGCTCGAGAAAAGTCTTTTCTTTTGGCTAGCTGTCTAGTCTGCAAGCGCTGATTTCCTGTACTTTGTCCCGGTCATAAGCATATTTCTCAGCGTAAACAGATCTAGGAAGCTGCCCAGAAGGTGTGGACTGCTTCCCATAAAAAATGTTTTGAGAGAGGGTTCAATGTGTGTGTGTGTGTGTGTGTGTGTGTGTGTGTATCCTTCAGGCCCTAGGCCAGTGACCTGTGACCTATGACATACCTAGGGGTCAGGCTACATTCTCCTTGAGACTTGAGAAACGCCTGCCTCGCTGAGAAGCAGACAGATCCGGGTTTGAACACAGCTCTGACCCCACGCACTCTTTATTTCCGTGCCTCAGTTTCCTCGTCTGTACAGTGCAAAATGTGGGTAAGAACAGCACTTGGATCACAAGGTGGTTATGAAAAGTTCTTAGGAAAGTGGCCGAGTTGAGTAGCCATCACTGCCGTCATTGTTGTAGTAGTTTATTGCTGACTTTGTGACACATTTAAAGTTATCCCTGCCCTATCTCTTCTATCCATATAGAACTGGTATAAAACGAGTGAAGAATTCCAAAAGCAAACTACAGTAGCACATCACAACCATCCCTGACTAAGGGCCGGAAAAAGAGCTGAGGACACAAGAAGTGGTCGCTTTGGCGGGCTGCCTTCCCACTGAGACCAGCAACGCTAAGAACCAGAAACGCTGCCAACTGCCAGGCGAGTCACGCAGCCGATGCTACATGAGGCTCTTGAGCTTTTCTGACTTGGTCAGTTGCTCATCTGAACAAAATTTTCCTATTTTTTCAGATTCAGTTTCCGCAGGTTGTTGGGTTAGTCACAGTATTTAGCAACCCTTCATCCCTCCAAAGCAGGGAGAGGTGCAGAGCCCCCCAGTGAATAATTAAAACCAGGCCTTTATGCTATGGGGATGTATATGCTATTTATTCACATAGCATGAACCCTGGTGAATTCCTCAACTCCCAAGACTAGTTTGTCTTTTTCATTTGGAAACATGGTGCTACTATGCATGTTCCCTTTAGAGGTTTTGCAAGTATCAAGCGAGCAAATCTAGGGACAGTTCTTGATTTCTACTCTCCCACCCCTGAGCAAGGAATGAAACCCAAAGAGGGTTCTTTCAAATGACCCTGTGCAAATAGGGGAAAAATACAATCTGCCTCTGTGTGTGTGTGTGTAAACATATACTAGCACATAATACATACACATATTCATTCGCTCCCCTCCCCCAAGCCCTGCGGCTTCTCCATTCCAGCCAAGGATGCCCTGCCTGGAAACTGTCCACCCTGACACCCAGGCCTGGCCCGCGGGTGGTGATGCTGGGACTGTGATGGAGCCTCCTTTCTGCAGCCACTCTGGAGGCCTCCTGTGATGGATCCACTTTCACTGGGTGTTATGTTCTCTTAGGAAAACTGTTTGTTCTGAAAGACATGTTGGACTTTTTAGAAATACCTCTGGTGTTGGCTAAGATGTTTATTGCTCTACACTCTCTTAGAGGTAAGTGGACCCAGCCCTCCAGGACTTAACTAAAACAGTAAGAACGCCCAAAGGACGAAAGACAGACCTACTGCCCCCGCACCCCCCACCCTTCCACCCCACGGCCTGGAACACGCCTGATTGGCCACATTTAGAGTCACCTGGGTTTATGTAATGAATGCAGTACACCCACTGACTGATTCTCTCCCCTTGTGCTGTGGTCAAGAAGAGAAAACTTTGAGAAGTGTGTATTGTGGAAGAGGTACTACTTGTGCCCAACCCTGTCCAGTCTCTTGGTGAAAGCAAGAAAACGGGCAGATGATGGATATTACCCCCTGCCGTGCAAGTGAAGATGGAAAATGTGGAGAGCGGGGCTTTAATTCCAAGTGAAGCATCAATGCTTTCAAGGAATTTGAATGAAGGGGTTTAGAAAGGACCCAAGTCTGAGGTGGTCTGAGATTGGAAGCCCCACCGCCTCAGGGCCAGGGGCTGGGCCTGAAGCTCCCTGGTTTTCACAACCTGCAGATCCCCTGCAGAGGCAGGCTCGCCAGGGGTGAACCTCTCAGAGCAGAGCGCCTGCGGCCTGCCCTCCACGCTACAGGCACAGCCGACCTGGTCTGGGAGGGCAGCAGCCTCAGAGTCTAGTGCCTGGAGCTCCAGGGCTCCTGGGGATGATTCCCTGGCTCCCCAGAAACCTGACTAACAGAGTGGGGTTTCTGCTTAGCAAATGCTCCCACTCCTGAGAAAAATGGAGGCTCTCGAGGCTAACGCTTCTCACACGAGGAACCATCCTGGCGGGCTCTGCCTGCCTGTGTGTCTGACGATGATCTGCGGCTGTGCCTCACCTGCCTGGCTTGCCTTCACTGGCATGTCGCAGTCACTCGCATTCCAGGGCCTTGCAAAGGCTCCAGGATCGTCTACCTGGATAGCCGGCCCTTGGCCCCGGGGAGGCTAAGGCACTCTGCTTACCAAGAATGCCCTCTGGCCCTGGCAGAGCCAAAAGGAGATTCCGAAAAATCCTCAGATCCCCGCTCCTGGCTATCAGGCAGAATAAGATCAAGCTCACATCTTGCTGAAATCTAAGCCAGGCATTACGAAGGGAAGTCTCCTGCCCTTAAAAACCATGCAAGTTCCAGGCTCAGATAGTATTTGGGGATTAGTGGGTATTTGGGGCTCCCTCCACTTTATTTTTCTCCTTTAAAAATATGCAAAGCGACCTGTTTATCTCTTGCTGGACAAGCTACAGGAAGGAAATCATCTGGGCTGGGCTGCTCTCTTCTTGCCCAAGTGGCCGAGGCAGAGGCCCTCGAAGCTTCGCAAATCCCTGCACTGCCTTTCAACACATAAGTCTTTAAAAAAGCTAAGTATCACTCATTTAAACTAACGGAGGGGAAGGCTAATGTTTATTGTCATGTATAAGATGGGCGTCATAGACTATCTGAAAAGAAAGCGGTGCTTTAAAGAATGTACAAGAAGAGACGTTTACTGCTGACAAGCAGAAGTTGTGCTAAAGCAACCTTATTTAGCTGGCCTGTACACGGATGCTTCCAGCGTGCTTGAACACCATCCAGAGTAAGCCAAACTGCCCCTGTTCCATCTCCTTTACATTTTACATCTAGTTATTCAGCCCTGATCAGATAATACACAGATGTCCTTAGAGACGTGCAGGTAAATCTGGGCTTAATCCAGGTTTACTCTGGACTAATTCTAAATCCATGGGCTCTGAATGAATGTGGCCTTGATGTTTGCATCAATGCAAGTCCCGTTTTATTGAGCAATTCTATTCTTAGCCCTATGAGGGGGAGGCAGACAGAAAGCCCATCCCCTCCATTCCATTCCCCTCCCAGGACGGTATTTAACATGCTGCTCCTGCCAGCTGGCGGGCAGCCACGCCAATGGCCCTGTCAGTACTGGCCGAGGAGAATGAGAAACTAAACCATAAAAGGCCAGAACTGCAGCTCGTGCAGTGGGGATGGGGGAAGGGAGTGTGGCACAGAGCGGAGCTGGCCCAGTGTAGGGGGCAGTGGTCACAGAAGGGCAGTTCAAAGGAGTGGACCCCAAAGTTGCCCACCCAGAAAAACTGGAAACCAATGTTTGCTAACAGGTGAGGGCGTGGGGCCAAATCAGCACTGCAGGTACAGGTCTTAATGTAAAGACAGACTGGATCACTAGCACCAACCCCCCTGCCCCCCAAGTTCCTGACTCCACGGGGGACACTACTGAAGTAAGCATCCAGAGACACCAAAGAGAAGAAGAGTGAGAAAGGGGGTCTCTCCCATCTTTTGTAGATGAGAACTATTCCCTGACTCCCAGTACAATGATTCCCAGATTTAAAATTCCCAACTCGCCGAAACCGGTTTGGCTCAGTGGATAGAGCGTCGGCCTGCGGACTGAAAGGTCTCAGGTTCGATTCCGGTCAAGGGCATGTACCTGGGTTGCGGGCACATCCCCAGTAGATGTGCAGGAGGCAGCTGATCGATGTTTCTCTCTCATTGATGTTTCTAACTCTCTATCTCTCTCCCTTCCTCTCTGTAAAAAATCAATAAAATATATTTAAAAAAAAATAAAACTCCCAACTTGAAGAAACAAAAGAAAGATGAGATCAATAAACCCCAGGTCAAAGGCTTTCATGAGCATAATGTATGGAGGCCCACAACTGTGCAGGGACACTGCCTGCTGTGTCATCTACACCTTTCTGTCCTGAGCACCTGCCAAAGGGATGGGGGTGGAGGGCAAGGAACTGAGCTTGACTGACAGTAGGGGACCAATTAGAAAGCTAGTGGCTGTTTCAGGAGAGAGTGGACAATGGCATGATCAACACAACTGGGATAAAGAGGAAAAAGTGAACTTCAGAAACAGCCTGGAGACAGACTCAGTCCAATATTGGGATGTGGGAGATAAGAAAAAGGGAGTGGGTTTAGGATTAGGAGGTCACGGTGACCTTAGTAGACTCCTGGGGTGTGGAGGGAGGCTGCAGGGAGCTGACGAGTGCCTGGGGGTGAGGAAGCAGAAGCAGAGTAGAGAGCACCCCCTCTCAGAGGGTTTGGCCATGAAGAGAGCGGGAAGAGATGTGGGGTGGCTGAAGCGAGACAAGGTATTGCAGGAGTCATGCAGGCCTGTGTGTTTGGCTAAGATGAGAGAAGGAGAGTTGGAGTTGAAGAGAAGAGAGTAGGGGGTGGAACCCCAAGAGCCTGGGGATTCAGAGTGCAGGAGAAGGAAGTGGCCTCAGGGAGAGAGGGGTGGGCCAGGCCCAGAGCCTGGAGGGTCCCGTCAGCCTGGGGGTGGACAGAGAGATGCCTGAATGTGCGGGGCCATGAAGCTGAGCAAGGTCAGGCCTGATGCCTTCTAGTTTCCCGAGAAGCCTGAGGCCGCAGTGTGCAGGGTGACAAGCTACCTCAGAGAGGGAGAGGGCACTGAGCAGCACTGAGCAGCACCGAGGCCTCGGCCAACCCTGGATCTTGTCAGAGTCCAGACTGTGGGCTGATGGGACCTCCCTGCAATGCCCTAAAGTCAGGCGGAGGAGCAGTGCCTGAAGAAGATGGCACTGATCCAAGGTGAAGACTTCAAGGGGACAGAGCTGGGGGCGGGGGAGGGAGAAGGAGAGGGAGTTGCCATGCCAGTAGGAGAGGCCTGGAGCAGCGGAGCTCAGGTCTCCGAAGAGCAGAAAGAGAGAAGCCAGGAGGGACTCACAGGGAGAGGAAGACACTGAGGGTGTGCGCCTGGGATCTGGAGTTCTCATGGGCATGAAGCACAGCAACCGTGTGAGCTTGGGGAGAGAGAAGTAAAGTGGAGTCCGAGGGGCTATGGGCAGAGAGGATGGGTGCAAAGGAGTAGGTCCCTGGGAGGTGAGACCCTGAGGTCCCTCATCCTGCCTGGGGGCTCTCTACCCTTCCCATCCCCCACTGCCAGGCCACCCACCCAGACTCACCGACCACGGTTAGGTTGACCTGGGCCTGCCTGCTGCCCAGCTTGTTCTCCACCAGCAGCGTGTAGCAGCCGCAGTGCTCCTGGCGGGCGGCCAGGATGGTGAGCTTGCTGCCATTCTCGCTGTTCTCCACCTTGATGTGCTCACTCTCCTGGATCTGCGGGCAGACAGTGGGCAAACGCTGGAGACGAGGGCCAGGGAAGGAGTGGGGAGCCAACCCCCACTCCCCACTGCACAGCTGTGGCTGTGTGGGGTGGGTCTGGACTCTGGGCTCCCCTCCACGACCCCTCCTCTGCTGCCTCCAGAGCCAAGCCTCCCTGTGGGGTCCAGATCCGGGGCAGACAGGGCGTGCTGAGCAGGGTCAGGGAAGGGACTCTGCAGTTGCTCCTCTAGATCAGAGTTCAGAAGTGTCTTCATCTCCCTCCTCCACCCTGGGATGGGAGGGTGGGAGAGCACATCTGAGCAAAGTCACTTATGAAGCCCAGCCTACAGGTTCTGACCTCTTCTGTGCTGTTGAAACCGTAGCCACTAACTAGCCACATGTGGCGATTTACATTTTAATTAAGTGGAAACAACCCAAACACCCATCAACTAGTGAATGGATAAACAAATGTACATCCAGACAATGGAAAATTATTTGGCCATAAAAAAGAATGAAGTTCTAATTTGTGCTACAACATGAATGAGCCCTAAAAACATTATGCTAAGAAGGAAAATGGAGTCTGAGGGGCTGTGGGCAGAGAGGATGGGTGCAGAAGGAGTAGGTCCTTGGGAGGTGAGACCCTGAGGTCCTTCATCCTGCCTGGGGGCTCTCTACCCTTTCCATCCCCCACTGCCAGGCCACCCACCCAGACTCACTGACCACGGTTAGGTTGACCTGGGCCTGCCTGCTGACACAGTCAGACACAAAAGGAAACACATTATAGGATTCCACTGATATGAAATGCCCAGAATAGGCAAATCCATAGAGACAGAAAGTAGGCGAATGGTTGCCGGGGGTGTGGGAGGGAGGAAATGATTGCTAATGGGTCTGGGGCTTCTGTGTGGGTTGATAATATTCTGGAATTAGATAACTGTTATGGTCGCACAACCTTGTGAGTATACTAAAAACCACTTTAAAAGGGTGAGTTTAGCAGAGTGAATTTTGTGATGTGTTAATTATAACTCGACAGACCTATTATAATAACTTTTAATCACTTAACATTTAAAATTCAGTTCCTCAGTTACACCAGTCACCGTTCAAGCGCTCAACAGCCACATGTGATTAGTGGCTACATATTGGAGAACAGATACAGAACATTCCCATCACTACAGAAAGAGACAGAGCTGCGCTGGGGCTAAATGTCTCTGAGAAGGGATGAGACTCTTCCCTACTTCCGGCGACACTGGCCCAGACATCGTCCAGAGCTACATGCTTTGGAATGCTAAAGGCCAGCTTCTCTTTTTTGTCTTTTGACACCAACCCTCCTTTCCTTCCTAGTACTAGCCTCCCATTTGGGGCCTTAAGACAACTTGATGGTTTGGAAATTGAGCAACAGAGGGCTCAGAAGAAATCTTCACTCCTTCTGTAGAGTTTCCCATCCGTGCCAGCCACCGTCCCAGGGCCTCTGTTGAGCATGCATCTGGGCACACACTGCCAGTGTGGGATCTCCAAGTTCCGTTAAGAGCTGGTTGTTTGGAATGTCAAACATTTTCCCATAGGGCCATGATTATAAATGGTAGCTTGACTTCTGGGCCAGCAAGCCAAAATTCTATTTTACGTACAATTTATCTATCCAAATACTCAGATTCACTTTTATCCCTTCGGCATGTGGTAAGTTTAAGCTGTTCCCACAGATTCGGTTCATCAGGCTGGCACAGAATCACAGAAGAACCCGTACAGGGGCTGAGAGGTCATTTAGGTTCGTGGTTCCATTTTCCTGACTCTGAGGAGAATTCTAGGCTGAGATATCAAAGTCAGGTGGGAACCAAGGATGGTTTCTATTGCTCCCTTCATACTTGTCTCTATTATACAGTGAATCTATAGCGCAGGTATTATTCGTAGATTTGGAAGGAAGGTTGTTTTAAGAACTCAGCTGTGATGACCGGGTGGCGAGTGGTGAGGGCTCCCCATTTCTAAGCCCCTGCGATGAGGGTGATGCTGTCTCCATGAGAGCATTTCCCACCCCCTTCAGCCTAGAGGCTGCGTGGTTGTTCCCAGGCCACCCCCCGCCCACCTTCACTGACCTGCTTTCGGAACTTCATCCAGGTGCAGGTGATGGGCTGGGTGCCTGTCACTTTACCGAACAGCTCCACAGACTCTCCTGCGCGCACCTTTTGGTCCTCCGGAAACTGGATGATCTGGGGGGGCATGGCTGGAGGGGACAGGCGGGAAGGTGAGTGTGGAGGAGAGAGCCTCAGACTTGCCCATCTCATGCGACACTGCTGTCCACATCGGTCTGCTGCTCTTCTCTGGAGCCTCCAGGGTAAGACTGAGGGCCGTGGTCACTGCTTCAGAACATCTGAGCTGGTGGACTTGCTAGGTTTGTTCACCTCTTTATTCTGATTCCCTCGATGTGGCCCACACAGTGACACGGCATTATTCTCCATTTGTTGGTAGCTCAGGAATTTGTATCTTGCCCTAATTTTTTGAATCTACATTCTAACTCCTTTATTAATTAGACAGCACCCAGGTCACCTTGGCTGAGAGGCTCAATATGGTTCATGCCCCCAAATGCCTTCCAATGGAAACAGACAAGATTCCATGTGACAAGGACAGACCGAGCAGAGCATTAAACAGCACAGAGCAGATCGCCTCCTTAGAGACAGAGTGAAGGGCAGAGGGTTAAGCAGAATTTTGCAGAAGGGATGGGAGAGTCGCTACTACTGTGTGATGCTGTCCTTACAGGGGAAGCAGGAGAAAAGCCAAGTAAGTGAGAGGCTGGGGACCAAGCTATGCAGAGGCTCTGGGGGAAGGTTCAGCCTGAATAACGCTGTGCTTGAACGAGGGGTGCCCTCCTGGGACCACATGCCCAGCGGTCAGGCTAGCAGGACAACGGAAAACCCCTCCTGGCAGATGACTCCCTTGCCCCCACACATTGCTACAACCAATTACCTGCTTTTAGAGGTGTCTTGGGGGCAGGTTTCTTTTTCACAGTTGCATCACCTAAAACGAAGAAGTTCAGGGGTTACTTTCTGTCAGTTCTATGTTTCCCAAAGCCCCTGAATCCTAGGAGGGTGCTGTCTTACCTGCTGGCCCTCCATCCAGGCAGAGCCCTTAGACCTGTGTGTCTTTCTGGGGATCTTGCCATCTCACACAGACAACCTCACAATCAAATGAATATCAGGACTTGGGGGCCTCTGAAGGGGGTCCCTGAGGCCTCCACTGAGAGAAAAACTAAACAATGCTTTAGCCTTCATTATCCATTTCAATGACGATACCCAAACTCACTCCCTATTCTCTCACCCCAACTTTCAGGAAACTCAGAAAGGAAATTATGTCAGATAAACCAACTAAAATTAGCCTGTGGTGTGGATCCAAGGGTCTCAGGTTTCCTTTGGGTCACAGACTGTGGACTGGTGGCTTTCATTTTTTACATCTTTGTTGAATGGATCAATGAATGAACGAACAAATGAATGAACTAACCAATGGTCTCCTCCATTCCCACTGCCAAACAACTCACATTTTAAAAATGACCCAAATAGACCAGTTTTGCAGCACAAACCTATTCATTTGGCTAAATAACAATGTGGTAAATAGGCAAAAATATCTTCAGCTATCTTCATGACTTGTTTTCTCATTTCTTTCAGGTCTCCGCTCAAAAGCCATCTAACCTCTTTATCCAAGCAAAATGAATATCTAACATGCAAACAAATACCTGAATGTGAATGTTTATAGTGGCTTTATTTATAATTGTTCAAAACTAGAAGTTATCCAAATATCCTCAACTGAAGAATGGATGAACTGTGGTACCTTTATACCATGAAATACTACTCATCAATAAAAATAAATAAACTACAGATATACGGCATGGATGAATCTCATTGGTGATTTATATCGTCGGCTAAGAGAAGCCAGAATCAAGGGCTACGTACTGTATAATTCTATTTCCATTACATGTTCGAAAGGGACAGAGAATAGATTGGTGCTTGACAGAGGTGGGTGGTAGAGGGGTTGGCCACTAAGAGCACAGCGACATGTTTTTGTTTATTTTAATCCTCACCTGAGGATATGCATTTTTTTTTCATTATTGATTTTTAGAAAGAGAGGAAGGGAGAGAGGAATCAAACCCACAACCTAGGTAAGTGCCCTGACTGGGAATCAACCCTGCAACCTTTTTCGTGACAGGATGATGTTCCAACTGACTGAGCCACCTGTCCAGGGAGAGGCACAGGGGCATGTTTCGAGGTGATAGAACCGTATTATATTGCGGTGGTAGTTACATGACTGTATGCATTTGTCAAGATTCACAGCACTGTGCACAAGAATTGGTAAGTTTTAATGTATGTAAATTATACCTTGACACAAAAAATGGAGGAAAGTCATTTAACCAATGAGATCACCCCTAACCACTTTATATCAAATATCAACCCTACACCCCTAGCACTCTTTATCATGTGTACCCCACTTTATCTCCCGCAGGGCACTTATCACCATGTGACAAACTATTTACTTATTTATTTATTGCTTGCCCTTTGCCTCCCCCTAAAGTAGAAGCTGTGAACCCAATGTGCCGACACACAGCTGCACTCGATAACTATTTATTGGATGAATGAGCGGAGTTTTGCCTCTGCATGTTACAGAGAAGCAGTGCTATGCCCTGGCTTGGGCATGGAGTTGTTCTGTGGCCACAGGTAAGTCAGATAACTCTGTGGGCTGTCAGTTGTGCATCAGTAAAATGGGAGGAGTGCTGCTACCCACCTGGGAACCCCAGAGCATCCTGTAAGCAGTTGGTCCCTGACAGAAGCACACTGAGAGCACGGAGCTGATGGCTGCCAGTTACATGGCTGAGCCCAGGGAGAGGCCTGCCTCTATCAAGTTTACCCTAGTTTGTCACCATCTTTGATCTGTCCATTCAACTCATAAAGACTTACTGAGGGCCTACTATGTACAGGGCACATGCCAGTCAGTACGGACTACTAGCCCGGGTACTGAGGAGAAATTTGGAGCTGCTGATTTCTACAGCAACCAAATGTAGAAATCAGGACTTGTCTTCAAGAGCTTAAATGTCAAGACCCGTGGCCTTCTTCTTTTGCCATAAAGGACATTTCTTGGACAGCTGGAAAATTTTTACCAAGTCCAATAAATTAGATGATAGATAGTATTGTAGCAATGCTAATTTTGTGTTTTGATCTCCCAACTGTTCTTTTATAAGAGACTGTTCTTAGGAAATATACACTAGAGAATTTAGGTGCAGAGGATAACATATGTGCAACTTACTTTCAAACTGCTCATAAAGTGAGTGTGTGTGTGTGTGTGTGTGTGTGTGTGTGTGTGTAGTGGGAAAGAGAGATGGAAAAAGAGAGGGAGAGACAAAATATAAAGCAAACATGGTAAAATGTTGATATTTGGAGAATATGAGTGAAGGGTATACAAGATTTATTTGTACTATTTTTGCAACTTTCCTATAAATCTGAAATTATTTCAAAATAGAAGTTGAATAGAAAGTTTAACAAATAAATTTATCCAGCTACATGACATGGCTGTTCACATGAGGGGGAAAGAGGATACACTGTGGGATAAGGAGATGGTTAGGAAGGGTTAAGGGCTGGGGCACAGGATGGGCCCGAGGACTAGAGAAGATCTGGACTAGAGAAGGAAGCAGCGCCATCCCTTCGCTCAGGAACAGGGAGTGGCTCTGAGCTGAGAACCGGGGTGATGTTTGGTGGAGGTTGGCCAGAGCACAAAGCTGGGATTAGAGAGCAGTGGTGTGAAGATAGTATGACAATTTAAATCCCAGAAAATTAAAAATTCATTTCCTCAGTCACACTAGTCACATGCCAAGTGCTCAATAGCCACACGTGGTTAGTGGCTATCATGTTGTACAGACATAGAACACGGCAGCGTCACAGAAGGTTGCATTGGAGAGTGCTGGTGTAGGATGCCAAGTCTGAGAGCTGGGTCTCTGTCCTCAGTCTGACTGGGGTAGAGGACATCTGGCGGTCTCTACAATCCCTGGGGACAAGGACACCCAATTAGGAAGCTACTGCCATACTCTTGGAAGGAACTGGTCACACAGGACCAGCTTGGGTAAAGGCAGCTTCTTTTCTTTGGTGAGAAGCAGAAGATATGAATAAGAGACAGAGGAAAAGTTAAATAAAGTAGGGGCTAAAACAAGAGGGAGGTACAAATACTCCTTAGAGAATTCTTGCTTGGATAAATGGGGAAAATTATATTGATAGATTATGGAATTTGGGAGTTAAAGACGTGGTTTGACTTGATGAGAGTGAAAGTGGTGGATGAAAGAATTTAATCTGTATGTAGGCAAAAGCCCAGGATCAGAATTCAGAGATCAGAGATCAGAGAAAGGTTGGTGGAGATTGGAAGTGAAAGATTTTAGGATCAAAGATGGAATATCATGGAAACTGATATGGATTAGCTCTTTGGGGAAAAGAATGCAGTGAAGGTGAGCAGGGGCCAGGGTCTGATCCCAGGCGATGCCCATGTGAGATGAAGGAGAAGCTGGGATGAAGGAGAGGGGCTACGGAAGGATTCCGAGAGGCAGAAGGACAGCCACTGTAGCCAAGGGCAGAAGACAAGGAACCCTGGGAAGTTAGCTTTAGGTATGACCAGCACCAAGCGATGGGTGGTGTGGGGGAGGGCAGGTGCAGTGGGACAGCGGTGTCAGAAGTCACTCCAGAGAAGATTTTAAGGAAACAGGGGGGCAGTCAACTAATCTATGCAGAATTTCAGAGGTGAAAGCGACAGAGAGAAATGGGGTGACAGAAGAGGAATGTCAAGCTAAGGTTTCTTCCAAGGTGAGACAGAAGAGTCTGAAGGCTAGGAAAGGGAGAGCTCAAAGATGCTAGCCAGGAAGAACATGAGAAAGCCAAATCCCCCGCGAGTGGATACTGGATGGGACACGAAGTGCCCATGACTGGCTGAGCTAGGAAGCCCCCGCCCCTCTTCATCCCAGGCTGTTGGGAAGGGAGAGGCTGTCAAGGGAAGAAGAAAGGCTTGGACCACAGCCGGACTCTGACCTCCTGCGGAGAGGGAAAGCCATTCGATCAGAGGAACTCTGTGGAGGCCTGCTGTGGGCTTAGTTGTGTCCCCCCAATTCGTATGTTGAAGCCCTAACGCCCATACCTCAGGAGACTATAAGATAGGGCCTTTAGAGAGGTAATTAGGTTAAATTGAGGTTGGTAGGGTGGGTCCTAAGAAATTGGGACACAGAGGAAAAGCCATGTGAGGTCACAGCGAGGAGGCAGCCATCTATAAGCCATGAAGAGAAGCCTTGGGAGAAACCAAACCTGCTGACACTTTGATCTTGGACTTCTAGTCTGTGGTGCTTTATTAAGACGAATGAATGCAGCTGTGGTTGGGGCTCTTGGGGCCAGAAGGCGGCTGACAGCCCCTGGAGTGGTGGGCCAGGAGCTGATAAGGAAGGGGCAGCAGCACAGTATGAAATCAGATGATGCCAAAGTCCCACCCTATATTCTTCCTGGCCACCCTGGGAAAACCTATGTGCCAGAAGGAGAGTCTGAGCTAATATCCGTCTGTCTGTGTTACAGACAAGTGAAACTGAAGGCCAAAGTTTTATATTTGTTCTTTAAATTTGGAGCTTCTGCTGTTTGAATTGGTTAGCATTTGAAACTGCTTTGGTTCCTATTAGTAAAGACAACTTTAAATGTCAGCAATGTTCTGTGTCCTATTCTATACATATTTTATATGACCATCTGCTGAAGTCCATTAATTGTTTCTGGGCTTAGAAGAACTGATTTATGGGTTGGAGAGCCGAGTCACCTTATTCCAAACTGGTTTTCTGTAGAGAGCTGGATTCAGTTAGCTGTTTTAACCCGTGGGCACATCATCCTTTTTCTCATTTGCTTCTTACCCCAAACAAACACAGGCAGGGCACCTCACACTATTTCCATTTCACAAAAACGGAGATGGATTTGCACAAAAGCCAGATGACTTCCTGGGTTCATAAAAGCACATGTAGCTGA